AATTTCTAAGCTTCAAAAAGTCATAATATAACTATAAAATATTATGTGAATTACAAGTTAAATAAATGAACAATTTTTAGAAGTCCAGCGTTCGGAGTGGGGTGTATTTACTGGAGGAGTCTGAAGGAAGGACGGAGCCTGGGTGGGGGCTGAGGCTAGCTGGTGGCTAATTGCAAGAAGCCGGCCCCACTGTTGGGCATTCTTCCAGGTTGGGACTGAACTTCTTGGAAATCCAGAAATTTAATCCCTTAGGAAAGCTAGATTATTAAAGATTGAAATATAAAAACCAGAATAACAATTGGATTGTTTGCAATGAGAAAGAGCATCACCAGTCAGGGAGCTGGGCCATCTGCTTGGCCACGTTCTGCAGGGCAAGACTCTCGACAGGAGCTCTAGGGAGCCCAGCGGTCTGCCGGCCAGCCACCGAGGTCCCCTGTGCCCCCACACACTGTCTGCTCCCCATGACTGCCAAGGGCACAGGCTTTGATCTCCAGCAGGTCTGGGTTAAAATCCTGCAGACATCACTTTAGTTGAAAAATGAGATATCTTAAAGTTGTTGGCAGTTGTTCAATGTCTGGCATATCATATGGGTTTCAATAAAAGTTCTGACACCTTAGGGGAATGCCACACACACCTCTGTTTAATTCCTTATATGGGCTGATTTGAAATGTATCTCTCTGAGGACAGTCTTGTTTTCTTATTCCTTGCTTTTATCATCCAATCACTCATTCAGGCATTCATCTATGCAACAACTGTTGGGGGCATACCTGTTTTGTACCAGACTCTGTTCTAAGTACTTGGGATAGTGCAGTGGACAGAACAGAGCCCCAATCCTCATGGAAATTACATTCTAGTGGTAAAGGACAGACAACAGACACATAACCTATAGTATGTCAATGCATGCATTTAATGACATAAGGCTTTATTTTTTCCCACAACTGTTATCTGAATCAACGCTCAATTCAATGAAGAATAGTATCTTAGAAGTAAAAAAAAGTCTTATATTCATTTTTTATTAACCCATCCCAATATTTCTGGGACATTTTTGCAATTCATGGCCAAAAGTAATTCTGGAGTTTCCCATTTGTGACCCGACTGAGCACTAAGCATCCATTAGCCATTTTAATCTTCTCAACATGCTTTTGAGGTAGGTTTTATCCTCCACGTGACAAAGCAAAAGGCAGCTCAGGAGGCTTCCCAGATTGTGGGGGATATTTTCCAGGTTTGGATTTGATGTGTTCTTCAGCCGCCCAGCACAGACTTCCTTTCTGGGAGACACTCCCATTGTATGTATTTTTGGTGGTCTCCATGAACGTGTCCCGCCTCTTTGTATGGACACCAAGTTACGGAGGTCCTCCTGCTTCTGCCTCTGGACAGAGGGTGAAGGCGTATGGCCCAGACCCAACCACAGACCCTCCCACTGCACACCCTGAGCACTGAGGGAATGAGACAGAGACCATGAGGACCAGGAGCCTGGCCACAGTGGCCTCAACCGCTCAGTGGGAAAACTGTCCAGTGATAAGAGGTCAGGGCTCCAGAAACACATCGCTCTTGGCTTTGGTTTCTACCACCCTTGGTCCTGCTGGTCCTCCCAGCCTGGTGCTCTAATTCTCTGAGCTACCTGATTTTTTTTTTTTTTCCAAAAAGGGGCACCTGGATGGCTCAGTCAGTGAAGTGACTGCCTTTGGCTCAGGTCATGGTCTCAGGGTCGTGGGATCGAGTCCCGCTTCAGGTCCTTGCTCAGCGGGAAGCCTGCTTCTCCCTCTCCCCTGCCTCTCCTTCTGCTCATGCTGTCTTTCTCAAATAGATAAAATCTTTAAAAAAAAAAAAAAAGTTTTTTCTCTTAAATTAGCCAGAACTGGATTTCACAGCTCAAAACACCGACGGCTAACACATCTAGAAAGTGGCCGGGTCAGTGTTTGATTCTAGGTCTGTCTACATACAAAGTCTGCACCTCTCACTGAAGTGAGACAAGTAGGGGATCAGTTACTTACTCGACAGTTATTCTCAGCCCATTGCCTGCGTCGCAGCAGCATCTCAGAAACCCAAACGCGGGACTGAATTCCGCCGGGACCTGGCAAGAAGCAGTTTTCTGTGGAGCACTCAATTCTGTCATTTAAAACCCCTCTCCCTTTGTCTTAGTAGCGCATGGAAACTTCTGGGAAGTCTGCAGGATCCTCTGCCCCAAGGCTGCCAACCTCCTGTCCCGTGCGGATTATTTTTTCCGCCATACTACACGCTCCCCAGTCCTCTGTGATACGGTCTCTCATTTCATGTCCTTTCAGTCACGGACTGGCTTTGAAAGGATCTCTGTAGGTTGGAACGATTTGGTTTTAAGTTTAGGTTTAATACAAGAATGACAGAAAGAAAGCAGACTAAAGAAGAAGAGAAGCAGCAAAAGGAAACAGTGGGAAATTAACAGCCTGAGTTTGTCATTCTGTTTTGAAAGGTCAAGGATGTCACTTAGCACCAGCCTTGCGGTGAAACTTATTCACACTAATGTGTAAATGACTTAGGAGACGATAAATTGCTAATCCTCTTCCGTTTTTGCACGTTACGATTGAGGAGTCGTGGTGCAAGTGCTGGGATTGATTGCGTTCATGCATTAGAAGAACGGATACTGGAACCTTCTAGAAATACCTAGATCACCCCTCTAGACAGTTGTTTATCTCAATCTGCTTCCAAAAATGGAATTTCGCGATTCTCCAAGTTCTATAGGTGAAAATATCTTTTGTCGAGCCCGAGTTCCTTACTGTCTTCACTGCCTGGCTGCCTTTGGCTCAGGACCATCACAAGGACTTGGAGCAATGATCTGGGGGGGAAACAAGCCAAGAAAATGGCCAAGTGCAAGAGGTTCCAGGCCTCTGTCCTTGTTCTTTAATATTCCTGCAGCATCTGTGGAGGGATGGGGGCAGAGCCGCGGAGAACGGGAAAGCATGTCAATGCAAACTTTGAAATCTTTTCCTGTCCTCAGACCAAAAGTGACCAGGAGTATATGCTGTACATTCACTCATTCGTTTATAAAACAAACTCGATTGTGACTTTTGTATCACTCGGTCTTTGAGGACCTTACAATTTAGTGAGTTGGACGAGTCCCGTTGGTCTCTAATTTTCCCTCTGTTCTACAGCAGAGTCTCAGAGCGCAAGACAGACAGGATGTTCACACATGTGACAAATCCTCATCGAGGACCCGGGGTTGCTCCCTAGACCCCGACACACGGGCTTCTCTCTCCCATGCAGTAAAGTGTATCAGAACGCAACCGAGAGAGAGGGGGAGAGGGAGAGGGACGGAGAAGGAGGGAGAGAGAGGGAGCGAGATCACTATGGGAATAACCTTAAGTCTAGTCTAAGTGAGAAGGCAAGTCATTTACACATTTTCATGGCTTAACAAGTATTAGTGATAAATTATTTGCAACAAACTTCACAAATGACATTCAAATACGCAGTACGTCACTACTAAAAATCACTGCTCTAGATGGCCAGGGTAGTAATGAATGCTTTCTGTGCCTAGAATATTCTTGGCAGTTTTTACACATTTTTTTCATTTCGTCCCAGCCCCCACAATGCTATTTGCTCAACTAACCCAGTGCTTTCCAACTTTAGTGTGCATCAGAATTACCCAAAGGGCTTGTCAAAACACAGACTGCTGGGCCCCATTCAGTAAGTCTGGGTGGGGCCTGAGAATTGGCATTTCCAACACATTCCCGGGTCCCAGTGGTGCTGTGGGCCCAGGAACCACACTTTGGGAATCACTGATCGATTCATCCATTCATCTATTCGAAAGGCATTTGTTCAGACCTGCCAGGGGCCTGGCACCAAAGTAAAAAGCTAAGTCAAACATTGTTTTGTAGGAGCTGGTGTCCACTGAGCACCCGCGAAGGGCTTTCTTATGACCTGATCAACGCCTTTATGACAATCCAACAAATCCTTCCCTCCATTTTACAGATGAAAATACCACAGCTGAAAGAGATCCAGAAACCTGCTCCAAGACCTATGGACTCAGGTGTCAGAACAGGGATTGGAATCTATGCCGGACACCAAGTGACCATCAGACACCCCGCCATATGCTAAGCCTCTCCTACAACACTGAGGAGCTTGCACACCATATCGTTGTCAGTCTTTTGCGTATTAAAACACACACACAAAACTGATGTTCAGAGAGTCTAAATAACCTGCCCAAAGTCACACAGTTTAGGAAGTATCTTAAAACTGAATCTCACTTTGATGCCACAGTGCTTTTCCCACCATAAAAACCATTTCTCCACGCTATCTCTAGATCGAGATCTATCCTAATCAGAGCCAGGAGAAAGACCAGGACCCCCGTTAACCAGAGCGCACAGAGAACGGGTAGGTCTGTGCAACGTTTCTGTTAACAAAGATGCATCCCGTGCACTAACTTACTCGAGGGTCTTCTAACAGCTGTGAGGCTACTTTCCACCCTAAGTCAGCGATGCGATGTTTCCCTGATGATTCAGGGTCCTGCGTGCCCAGAACCATCTGCAGGAATAGTGCTCGGTACTGAGAAATGCCTGAGGGGGTGCAGAAGATGCAGGTGGCCAATCGAATTCTAGGGAGGAGGGGCCCATTACCAAGGAGGAATTAAACTGTATTCTAATCATTGACCTCTTCTGTCCTCAGAATGGACAAAGGCCCCCACACTGAGACTCATCAAATGTTTCCATTGAATTGGGTTAAAATTAATCAAGTTTACCCCAATTTGTGGAAGCAGCTGACAAACTTCATTAAACCTGAGTGTTTTTCTGCCTTTGTGACTTAGTAAATCGCAAGGAATGAAGCTTTTCTCCGACTCCCGTGTACCTTTGTGTTACCCCGTCATCAGGGAGAGAAATGAGCTGTATAATTACCTTTCGAGACATGAATCATCCCTGCTCCAAGGGCCCAGACCTGTTTGATGCTATAAAAGCAGCTCGAGGTCGAAGTGCAAACGCACACGGTCTGCCTCGCCCCGGGCTGATATAACCCCAAGCTGCCCCGAGGAGATGAAGGTGCTCCCCACTTCGGGCCTGGCTCTGCTGCTCATCACGGCTCTCAAGTTCTCCACGGCAGCCCCCTCCCTATTTGCAGCCACCCCCAGGACCTCACAGAACAACTACCACCTCGCACAGGTTTGTGAGTCTTTACACAATTCCTCCTCCCACCCCGGGAACCCCACAAGGGTATAACGAGAAAACAAGGAAAAATCGTTATTGTTGTAAAACAGCTCATAAGTGCACCAGAGCCGAGGAGAAACTACCTCCCAGACGGCTAGGATCCATGTCGGTGCACACGGGGGGTGCACGAGGCATGACGAAATGAACGAGTCTCCAGGTAGCTCGCTTCATACAGAAATTGAAATGACTTGCAAAAACCCAAGCAAGACAAAAAAGACAAGTATTGGAGAAATAATGCCAGGGGGAAATAATGGCAGAAAAATAACCCCCGAGGTGTAAGTTTGCATGGGCATGGGCGAGGGAGGTTGTCAGCGTAGCGCCAAGCTTCCTGGCGGCACCGGAAAGATTTCCTGGGTTCACATGTTAGAAAAGGGCTCCAGCGTTCTGCGCCAACTCGATCCAAATCTAAAGTGACCCGTTTGGCCTGGGCGCTGACCCGCTCTGCCCGTGAGAGCCTTTCCTCTCTAAAACATGTTCCCAAGGACCTGACTTATGGACACTTTCTGTATTTTCCTCTTTCTCGAAGATCTCTCGGAACTGGTTGGAAAGGATGGGATACAAATAATTCACGTTCAAATTTTTGCAACAATTATGTGACTCAAAGTGATTCAATGTTGATTTGCTTCCAAGCGGTTTTTGCATTTAAGGGAAGGTGGCGATCTGTCATCTAAAGAAACATCTCTAGGGGTGTCCAACTGGTTTGTCGGCAGAGTGCGTGACCCTTGATCTCAGGGTTGTGGGTTCGAGCCCCACATTGGGTGTAGGGATTACTTTAAAATCTTGGGGGGAAGTGTCTAACGACGGAACCCCCAACATTAGTGGAAGTGTGTGGATGAGGTGTGTTTGGGCCAGGACCTGTGTTTCGATTGTCTGTCGAATGGGAGCACATCTGTGATTGTCAACCGTGCCTCAGGTGGTCTTCCTGCCCACCCACTGCACCTGTGCACGAGCACATACCGATTGTTTACACACCCATCCATCCTAATTAGTCAGCCCCCCTCCCCCCGCTGTACCAGTCATTAAGCATAATAATATCAGCCCTGCTTATATACAAGGTAGCGGATGCCAAGAACAGAGCTCTTAACCTGAACTCCCTCTGGCTTGAGCCCTCACTGTTAGATAAACTAAATTCAAGATAACCTATCTCAGAATTCCAGGGTCTATTTCAAACTGTGTTTCGCTGGTACCATGTATAGCTTTGGGTCTCTTCTCCCGAAATGTAATTTTCCCTCACCTAGCGTCACGCCACTCTGATTCAGAAACTGGAGTCGCTGTGACCTCCGGAAGGAGGGTGATGCTGAGGCCAGAACCCATGTGAGGGGTTGAAGATTCTATTCCTGGTCCGTGATTCTATTCCTGGTCCAAACGACGGTCCTCAGGCCAAACCGGCCAGGCATGTTCATCCGCGTGTCGTCCACTTCTGCACCCCAGTGGCGGAGTATCACAGAACCGAAAATACTATGGGCCCTTCACAGCAAGAAGTAGCTGAGCCCTGAGCAGTCTGTGCAGGAATGAGACCAGAAAGTCTCGGGAAAAGATAGGCTTGCTAGGAGTACTTGGGAACAATGAAGTGGCCTTGGGATGCTGGGGATCCCTTACGACTTCCGCCCCAAAAGAAGTCCACTCTCCTCAGCTCCCTTATGTCCCACTCTCAGAAAGACCCTCGTCCACGGACCAGGGAAACTTGGCAAACAGCCCCTTCTCTGGCAACAGCCCCAGTGGCCAGCGCTGGGCAGGAGAAAGGCACCCTCTTTCGCAGCCTCGCATGATCCGGGCAAACCACTGAAGTGGGTCCTAGTGACTAGAAAGAACTAATGTCCCACCTTGTGGTTTACAGAAATACAGCAGTCCCCCTACGTGCTGTGCATGGTTTCATTACCCACGGTCACTCCTGGCGGGAAGGCGGATGGCCCGCCGTCTGACCCGTCAGAAGGTTCATTAGTAGCCCCCTGCCCCGTCGCCACACCCACATCGTTCACTTCGCTGCATGTCATCACCTCACAGCATCAGCAGAGGGACGAGTTCAGTACGATTCTGTGGGAGAGCTCACGTCCCGTAACTGTCACCACAGGACATTGTTATGGTGGTTGTAGGTTACCCTCTGTGCCTAATTTATAATTAACTTTGTCATGGGTGTGTCCGCATAGGAAGAAACAGCACTGACAGGGCTCAGCACTATCCGCAGGTTCAGGCACCTGCGGGGAGCTTCGGATCGTATCCTCTGTGGATAAGGGGGCACTTCTATATGCAACAACTTACAGTACAACAGATGACACAATACAACGGTTATTTACAGACAGTTTCCCGCGTGTTATGTGCTAGGGTCTCTTCTAAGACTGGAGAAACACAGTGAACAAAACAAGTCAAATCCCTGTTCTGGGGGATTTGAAGGTAGCGGATGCTACAAACAGAGCTCTTAACCTGAACTCCCTCTGGCTTGAGCCCTCACTGTTCGATAAACTAAATTCAAGATAACCTATCTCAGAATTCCAGGGTCTACTTCAAATGGGGAGGAATAAGCTGGGAGGACATAGGCAAGTAGTTAATCAACAAGCGCCCGAGATTATTTCAAAGTGGTAAGTGATATTGGGGGGGAATGAGTCAGGATGATAGTGACTGGGGGACAGTGGGGGACATTGTCACCTGAGTGGTCCAGGAAGGCTTTTCTGTGGAAGTGACATTCGAGGTGAACCTGAACTGTAAGATAGAGCCGGTCACCTGACTATCCGGAGTGAAGGAGCCTGGGGGCCGCATCCGGCTGGTGGCAGGAGCTGGGAGACCGTGCTCGGTGGGCCTGGCTGGGCCCCAGAGCCAGGTGGCCGGTGGACCAGGGAGGCCTGGGAACCGGGGTTAGGATAATTAGCTTCCACACAAACCTCTTCTTTCCAGAGAAAATGGATTGCTTCTTGGGCCTGGAAACACCAGACAGGCAAAATTTTCAAACGCTATATGCTTCCTCCCAAACTCAGAGCACAATAGTCTACACTTAAAAAGATGAGCAGGTTTTTAGTCGACTTACTTAATGCCTACTGGTGTCTTTTAAATTCTGCTTTGCTGATGAGCATAAAGGCTTTGAAAATGACGGACTAATAAAATGCTTAGTCTCTTAAACCAGAGTTTTATTCTATTTTTGTTTGCTTTTAAAAGCCAGTCATAGCAGGGCGCCTGGGTGGCTCAGTCATTGGGTGTCTGCCTTTGGCTCAGGTCACGATCCCAGGGTCCTGGGATCGAGCCCCACATCGGACCCCTGCTCAGCGGGAAGCCTGCTTCTCCCTCTCCCACTCCCCCTGCTTGTGTTCCTGCTCTCGCTTATCTCTCTGTCAAATAAATAAATAAAATCTTTAAAAAAAAAAGTAATATCAATACATTTAAAACAACATTTGACAGTTTGTTAAATTGTCCTTAAAAATAATATAAATTTTCATTATCACATTACTATGAACTTGTAATTAAAGATAATTAAAAATTGGAAGCTTCCAAATACAGACTGTTAAATTCAGGTGTTTTTACTACCATTTTACTTTCTGTGCATGAAGACATTTTTTTTTTAACTAGTATGTTTGGTTCCTAACTTTATCACTGATTATTATTTCATAAGAAATTTTTCATTTTTATGTTGTTTTCATACACATCACTCTAAGGAGTTACACATATTCCAGAATATAAGTGAGTTATAATTTATTTAGTTGCTTCCTTTGCTGGACCCATGGATTATTTCCATATGAATAGTGTTGCTGTGAATATCTCCATACACCAGCCTGAGCTAAAGGATGATTTTTTCAGCTCAGATTTCCCAAAGAGGAATTAATATGTGAAAGGGTGCACACATTTAAAGTCTTCCATACACTTAAAAGCATTTTCGCACTGAGGCCCTCCCTGGATCCTGACGCTGGTGTGGTCTGTAGAACAAGTTCCAACCTCGTGTTGTGGATGAGTGCACGGAAAACCCAAGACGTGAAGGGCGTTGCCCACATTTGTTAGAAGCTAGGATTCCTCACCCAGCGTCCCAAGTCCTCACGATTCCCGGTGGCTCAGCCCGAATGGAAGGAAATGTGGAAGAAACCCTATCTTGAACTTCATCAAGTTTTGAAACACACTTGACCCCGAGTTTTAAGTTCTTAATTCTCAAGAAGGATGCCAGGAACGCACACTGAACAAAGAGCTGGAGTTGGGGAGCCAGGCCACGAGGTCTCTATTATTTTACTCTCTCCAACACTGAAAGAGAAGCAGAGAGAGAACCACCGGAGAGCCAACCCTAAAATCCTGTCATTTGAACAACGGGCAAGTGGGGAGCAAATAGGACAATTCTGGGGGGGTCCTAAAACTCTTGACCCTCAGTGCCAACAGCGTCAGGTATTGAGCCAACAACACCCAAGGGTTAGAATTCACACAAATGCAACATTTAAATGCCTCCCTGGACGTTTAGAGTCTGGAAAGATGCAAAAACCTTGTCTATAACTTTGGCAAGAAAGTTCCCAGAATAACTTGGGCCCTGAGTACTCAGAACATCTGATAAGTCTTCAAAGAAACAAACTTGCATATTTTACCTAAAGAAAAAGAGCCCGAATATTAACTGAACATGTACTCTGAGCCTAGAACTATGTCGAACAGAACTAGGTACCGTTTTCATCCTTTTATGGATAAACCTTTTGAGCTGCAAGTCTGGCATCTTCTACATATTTTAAAGAAAAATACTTTTTATTGTAGAATTATATATGTTCAAGTAGAAAAATTATAAAACATAGGTAACAAAAAAGAATCCTTTTCAATTCCATCACTAAGATAAAACCACTACTCATCCCTTCATCGATATTTTTCAAAACACTTTGCTATGACTCTGGGCTGGGACTAGGTTGTAGGAATGAGGCAGGATTGGACTCCATATTTATTTAAAATATTGATGTTTTGTTCATCGCGGATTTCTTTGCATCAATTTTGATTTTTTTTAATGTTGCATTAAGTATTGATATTCTTGAATACTGAGGTTTTGGCGACCCCTGTCTTCCTCACTCTGGTCCAGGTTTACAAGCATTCATCAGTGTGTGTATCCATACGCACACACTTTTCTTTACAAACATGGCTTATCCTGTAAGAGTACTTGTAAATCTCTTTCCACATAATGTATCATGAGCATCTTCTCTCATAGGACCATATTTTGTAAACCAAAATTAGAACACAGCATGCGTCATGCATCACCTAACAAGGGAACAAAGTATCTGAAATCCAAACTGTCTCAGCTATGGAGCATCTGGCCCTTTGCGCTGAGCTTAAAGAGCGTAACTCAGACTTACAGCGAGCGCTCTGTCCTCACAGCATCAACTTGAGCAAAGAGGAATGGCTCCGAAAATGTCATCCTGCAAAAAAGATCAGAAACATAAGATGCTTACTTACGATGGCCCACCCAGAGCTGGGAATGAAACCGCATAACCCCAGCCATTTCCAGAGCCCCTCACCGAGGCTCCAGGGCTGGGGCTCCACACTGGCCCCTTCTCCTCCCCTTGGGTCCTTGTCCCATTAAGATTCTCGCAAGGAACCACCACTAGGGAAGTGAGTTTCCCTGGCCAACAGGGCAGGGGTGGGGGTGGGGGGGTGAGGATTGGCTGACCCCCCAGGAGCACCTTGCCCAAACAAGCCAGTGCACCTCACTCCTTTTAATTATTTCCTGAACAACTACAATCCACGTTCACAGCAGAAAACTTTGGGATCTAGGAAAGGACGAAAAATAAGTTGTCACCCATAGTATTACAACCCAGAGGTAAACAAGTCTGATACAGACCTCTTTCTTTCCATTATTGATGTTACTTGTGTTCATACAAATTACATGCATATGTTAATTATCAATATATCAGTTGACATCAATTTTCAATGTTAATTTGCACATTAACCTTATATTAATATACATAGATAACAAACAGGAGTATAATATGTACACATATATAGGGTTTGATTTATTTTTGAAATTATGATTTTAATCTGTATAAAGACTTCACCTCTATATTGTCATTATGCTGAGTGTGTTATTCCATGCCATTAAATATTTTTCAAAAAAATGGGATCTTAGAGGTCTAGTACTACTTCATATGAATATGTAATAATATATCCAACAAATCCCCTATTCTTAGATATTAAGGTTGCTCTCAATGTTTTATTATCTATTGTATTTTTTATTTTTATTTTTTTAAAGATTTTATTTATTTATTTGACAGAGAGATAGAGAGAGAGCACAAGTAGGCAGAGAGGCAGGCAGAGGGAGGAGAAGCAGGCTTCCCGCCGAGCAGGGAGCCCGATGTGGGACTCGATCCCAGGACCCTGGGATCATGACGTGAGCCGAAGGCAGACGCTTAACGACTGAGCCACCCAGGCGCCCCTATTATCTATTGTATATAAATATGTACATATAGCATAAATCGTACACATAATTTATATAGAATATAAATATACAGTTAATGTGATAGACAAATATTTATATGCACCTTGTGTATGATATATCAACATAAAATTTTACGTAAAATAAAACATACACATAAATCTGCATCTGCTCTGTGTTTCCCTGAAATCAGGTGGGCAGTCGAAACCCCTGGGCCAGCAGCTGGCTCTGGTTCTCACCCCACCCAGGAAGTCCTGGAAAAGTGTCTTGAATGATAAATTTAGAGGTTTTAAGCCTTAATGTGCACATGAAAAGCTTATAATCTATGGGTAATTTTACTTGCCTCCGGGGACAAAGGGCCAGTCACGGAAGGCTGCCCTGGGAAGACAGACAGTTTCAAGCCCACAGTCTGCTCCCTGAGCGATGGAAAGCCAGCAGGGACATGGACGGCCGTCTGCCTTTGTATAAGATGAGAGGCTACAACAGACGGCCTCTGAGTGTTAAAAACATGTCCATCTTGCATAATGTACAAGGAAAACATGGTACCACTGACTGCCTTCTTGGGAAATAGACTAGTCTTGGTTTTGCAAATTGGGTCAAGATTTCAATGACAAATAAATGCTCTGTGGGGAAAGTGTTCACATTAATTTCCTTCCGTTAGTTTTTCCTCTTAGAATAACCAGTCCTTATATGAAAACTATAAAATGCAAGTGAGTAAAAAAAGAAACCGCTACAATTCCCACCACCCAGACATAACCATTGTTAATAACGTGGCATCTCTGTCTAAGCTTTATCTAGGCGAATATAGCTAATTTTTTTCAAAGATGGGAGTACTCGGTCCACGCTATTTTTAGCTTGTCAAGAATATTGTCCCCTTTTCTAACCTGAGCATGAGTCTCTCCCAGAGACCGTGCCACAGACGTGTCAGCCTGCCTCTCCATTCCAGGCGTATCTTGACAAGTATTACACCAGGAAGGCAGGGCCCCAGGTTGGCGAGATGGGGGCGCCAGGAGGCAGAGCCCTGGTCAAGAAGATCAAGGAGCTGCAAGCCTTCTTCGGCCTCCGCGTCACCGGGAAGTTAGACCGGCCCACGATGGACGTCATCAAGAGGCCTCGCTGTGGAGTTCCCGACGTGGCAAACTATCGCCTCTTCCCAGGTGAACCCAAATGGAAAAAAAATACTTTGACATACAGGTAATGAGATGGAGTCTTCCCAAAGTCAGAGAGAAACACCCTCTCTCCTTTTCCTTTCTTTTAGAAATATCTTCCTTCTGATCTGTATACAAGTCCCGACTCATCACAACCATAAGGAAGGCTTTTTAGGGCTAAGCTTTAGACAGTGACATTGGAGGACTCCCTACAAAATATGATGTCAGGATTATCCTAATGACTGGCCATTTCGGACATTACAAACAATTTTATCAATTAGAGACAACACACTTGTCTTTCAAGAAAAATAACCTAGTTTAGGATTAATAACAGTACCAACAAGTTTTTTTAAAACAAGTTCCTCAATCAGAAGGAAACAATAAAACTCACCTATTTAAGTAATTTTTTTTATTAATTCCAAAAATAATTTATTGATGATTTATTAAATGCCTATTGTAGACATTTGATTTTTGGAGATACAAAGGTGAGTCGATCCCGTTCACTGACCCTCACAGCCCCTTTCGGGAGACACACAAGCAAACAGATCCTCGTGGCTCCCCATGATAGGTGTGAGCCTGAGGGTCTAAGCAGAGAACCGTGGTAGCACCCACAGGGAGCGCAGGGACCCACCGCTAGGTCAGCTGGCCTCCTTCCTGGGGGACCCCCCTCCACCTGCAGGTCAGCTTGGAGGCAGGCAGTCCCTGCTGCATGCCTGGGCCTTGCACCTGCTGGACAGATGTGGCCTTGCAAACGGGTGGCCTGCGCATGCATCTTAGCCCTTGAGGCCTGGCAAATGGTGAGGGTGTTCCAAGTGCAAGAGGAGTCTGGGCAGATAGGGGCGTGCAGTGGGGTGGCCCAGCAGGCAGGTGCCGCCCAGGGCAGCCAAGAGCCAGGCCAGGTGTGGGGCCAGATTTTGTTCTTAGGAAGAGCACATCTGGCCGAGACCTGGGGACGGGGCGAGGCCGGGCTGTTCCAACAGTCCCTGCAGGTCTCACAGAAGGGTTTCCAACAGTCCCCTCCTCACAGCTCACAGAAGCCGGTCTCAAACCTGTCTGGAATTTTGCAGCCAGTTGTTAACCACCCCAGACTCTTGCAAGCTGGTTGCTAAAGAGAGCCATTATTAAAAATTAAGCTCTTCATCCCTGCAATTAAATAAATTATATTTATACACCAACTATTATATATTACCTTATAGATGTTATATAGAATCAAAAACAAAAGGTGAGCAAACGTTGCCTCCTGATCACTCTACCACACTTTACTACTGTCTGTGTTCATGAGGCCATTCACCTTTTTATCCCACGTTGGGAGCAGCGTGCTGCTACTTATCTCTTCCCAACTGCACTTGTTGGGCTGGGGGAGGGGGCTTGAAATTACCACCAGGGAAAGCGTTGCAGAATGGGCATCAGCAAAGCCCTCAGATGAGAAAGTGGTCACGGAGCCTGTTGTTGAACTGCACCAGCTCAGCAGTGGGTCCCAAGTCCCTGGGGTCGAGTAAGGGCCCACAGCTCCAGAGCCCTCCAGAGACTCCTCTAGGCTGCACGCTGGCGGCGACCAGCCTGAGTCCATAAGGTGGCGCTCCAAACACGGTTATCACTCGGCTTACGCCCAAGAAGGCCACGAAAATCAAAACATTTGGAGAAGAAGCGCCCCATAAGAGGTTGAACAGGAAAAACGTATATAAATCCACGAAGTCTTTCCCTTTATTTTCTTAAAGCGTATCAGAATTTTAGTCTGTAATGACGCACAGCACAGACCAGGGGAATCGAGCAACCTGTTTGGAGACTTAGAGAAGTGTATTATTGTGACAGGGTTCCCCGGATGGCCCCAAAGCCCCCTCAGCACACTCATCCAGCCCATCCACTCGCCCCTGAGCATCTCCCCGGCCCCAGAAAGCAAGCAGGCAAGCACAGAACGCACTGGACGCGCTCCGAGTACTCAGAATAACCTCTTCTAACAGAACCCAGGGGATTAAAATAGACAAAATACAGCTTAGTGCTTATGTGCAGACGTTTGGAGTCAGAACTGGGCTCCAATCCTGACTAATCATAAAATGCACATCATCATTATCTGTTAAGGTCGTTGTGAATATGGGACACGCCCACGACCGTGTCTAGCGCAGAGCATGGGCTCACAGAGTATTTACTGTAACCCCTCTTGTCTCCTGGGTCTTCAGGTGCAGACTCTGTGCTCCTTCCTTCTCCACTGAGGGTCGCTATTTACCGTACCCTCTGTGGGACCTGGTCCCTGCCCTTCAGGCCCCTAGGATTGCCCCGGTTGGTTCCTGGTAGAGACAGCCCCACCTCTGTCAGAATCACCTGAGATATCTGTTGAAATGCAGGTCTACAGGTCACACCTGTGTGTGCATTTACCCAGCTTCTCAGGGAGCCCTCACAGGGGCTAGAACTGGACTGCCACCCGGAAGGCCTGAAACACCACTAGCTTTTATTCCAGAGTTCATCTGTGTAGCAAGTCTTTGCTAAGCACCTACAAGGTGCAAGGGGTTGATGAGGAGCTGGAGAGAGAAAGCAGGGCAGGTGTCTGCTCCCTGGGTTGGCGCTCGCCCTGCATCCAGGATGCTGGCTGCGCGGGAGGTCCTGCCAAGGCCCCGGGTGGTAGCTCCTTCCCTCTGCCCTCCCTCCACTTGCTGTCAGGAAGCCCCAGTCCCTGCAGGCTGGGGCAGCTCGTCCTACCAGGACCTCATGAAAGACTCAAGCCAACACTTCCTCTTTAAGATACACATTATTTTAAGAACAAACATCCCCCCCACCCCCACCCCCGGGAAATCCCCGGTGGCCTTTGAATAAGAATGTGCAAAACCTCAAAACTCAATGTTTTTATTCTTTACAATTGAAAATTTTCAGTCCCTTTTGGGGAAAAAGAGGTCCCTTCTCCATTAAAGCCATTTTAGGGGAAATGGATTCTTGCTACTTGTGAAATGACCCCAGGTTATAGTCTTTAAAATTCGGGATAATCTCGTAACAAGGAGAGCCCAGCTGTTTCAGCGGCAGGTGATTTCCCAATTGCTCCGCACAGTCCAGTAAGGTAGCAAATACAAAAGCAAAACAAGCATTACCGTTTGGGAGAAAAATACCCCCATCGCAGATTCACATTGGCCCCTCCTGTTGTTGATACCGCCTCAGCAGAGGGCGCGCCTTCCGGCCTCAGAGCGCTCACGGAAAGGAAACCGTGTTCCTTCTGTTTTCGCAGAATCTCCAAATACACGCCCTCCATGACTTCCGCGGAGGTGGACAAAGCAGTCGAGATGGCCTTGCAGGCCTGGAGCAGCGCCGTCCCGCTGAGCTTCCTCAGGGTGGACACGGGAGAGGCCGACATTATGATATCGTTTGAAACTGGAGGTACTGTGGCGCTTCTTGGATGTTCCTCCTGATCCACGGGACACAAGTCCCGGCATGTCTCCTTCAACCTTTAACGTGAGCGATCAGCGCGATCCTCATCCACACGCGGTGTGATGGGCAGAGCCCAAGGTCATGGCAAGGTCATGAGTGCCTCCGGCTAGGACGTAGACCCGGGGGAGTTCTCAGCACGTCTGGTCGTGCTGGACGGGGCGGGAGAGGGGACTCCGCTCTTTCCCGTTGGCTAGGAAGCCAGCCGACCTCATTCCCATGGCCGTACTCACCGCCGCGCGCCGCCTTCCATATGCACCAGGAACCTCCCACCCTGAATCCCCACTGAAGGAAGTGCACACCACGGTGGCCCTGACCACGGTGGCCCTGACCACGCTCCCCCTGCGGCAGGCTGTGGTCGGGATAGCGGCCTTGCAGTCTTGCCCACACCTTCTGGAGCCCCCAGGCCTGCCCCACCCCACCCGCCTCTGCACCCCCTGCTCACCCGGGTAAGGAGTGGAGGCCTGCTCTGGCCCTCTTCAGAGCCGCCTGTCTAGGGAGCAGATAAACCGAGGGTCACAGCATTCCTTGATTTCTCAGCTTCCAAGTGGCTGCGGGGAGAGCGCACCCCGGCCTCCCTCCACAGACGCCCTTGCTAAGGGCCCCAGTTACTTTAAGTCCTGATCTTGGGTGGAGGCTCAGGTGCGGGGAAGTGCATGCTCAGAAGCCAGGGGAGAGAAGGTGACGCGGTCCCGAGTGTGAGCCCTTCAGAGGCGGCCCTGCATGTGACCTGGCCTGTGGCAGGTCCTGTTCCCCCCCCAGGACAACAGGGCCGCCCCAGTGATGTGGTGGTGCGGCTCCTGGCGGCTTTGGAGGCCGTGATATTAGCATCAGCCTCTCTCTAGGTCTTGCCAGCTTGCGCCCTCTCCCCTCCAACACAGGCTGAGTGGGGGCTGTGCTGCGTGTCCCTGGGTCCTCAGAGCCCACCATCCAGGAGCGCCGGCACACGGCGCGCCAGAACCCTGGGAAAAACCGGGAAACGTGGCTTCTACAAAATGCCTCGTTTTGTTCTCTCTCCTCTTTTTTCAAATTTATAATAAACTGTTAATTAAATATAAGCAAAACAAAAACATAGAAAGTTCTGAAAGTTATGATTTTATAGACACCTTTATTGCTTGCATGAGCTTGATACAGGAAAGCGTATTGAAATTCCAGAGGAACTTTCTCCTTTTGGATACCTCCGTGCATTGTATTGCACGGTAGAAACAGAAAGCACACACATTTGCTCGATGTACCATTGCTGTCGTAGCTGAATCCGACTATAAATGCTCAGCCTGCCCACACACCCACATTCCAGCCGTAGGGGTTGCTTCCTACTTCTTTTGTAAGACATTTGAACGACGTAGGCATTGCAATAAAAACTGTCACAAAAGAATATTTTTTATTTTAAATGCTAACTGTCTTTGAAATGCCAAATATCCCTCTTAATTTTTCAATGGACAATTACTCGTTGACATGTGAACTTCTTATAAAAAATGAATATTGGAAAGTAAACCTATTTGTATGAGAAGTGCCAACACTATTAAAAGAAAAAAGGTGTCCATTCCCTGTAATGTGAAGCATGCCCCCAAAATTGCTAGAAGGACTCAACGGCTGTTGGCATTTCTCCCCACCTCTTTAGATCACGGGGACTCCTATCCATTCGATGGCCCTCGAGGGACTCTCGCCCACGCATTTGCACCCGGGGAAGGTCTGGGAGGCGACACCCATTTCGACAATGCTGAGAAGTGGACTATGGGAATGAATGGTATATATGCACAATTCACCATAACCTGGAAAATATTGTACCTTCTTCTGGGCCTCCACCATGAAACCCCGAGGTTCAACGTCCCAAGCCACCCTTTAACTAGGGAGGCTGGCTAGGAAAAACAAGTAAGCCAAAAATCCAAAAGGGAACACCATAAGGGAAAAGACCCACCCTCACGTGTGTTGTAGACTTATCTGAACTCTGGTTCATGCCTATGATCTCGAGGAGCATCGACCCCACCTCCCCCCGGCTCTCTTTCTTTATGTAGCATTTACTATCTCTTACTTGTACTTGGAAATAGGCTCTGTTCAGAGATGACACTTCATCTCCTGAGAAGTGTGATGGGAACGGGTTTTAAAGTCCCAGGACATCGTGCCCGTTGTCTGCAAGTCTTCCCTGTGAAATGTGTGTGGACGACAGGGGGTAGCGTGTCATAGCCCGGAACTGGTGAAGCGTCTTCAGTCTAATCTGGGTCTCATTGCCCCTGGTGGCTCTAGTTAGACCCTTCTGTGTCCAGCATGGCTGACAAGGAACAAAATGGATTGATTTACATTTCCATCCTTCCCTACCCCAAAGCCCCTTCTAGCCAAGGGGGAGAGCACTAGAGTGTTGTCAGCAAAGCTCAGCACGCGAATAACCTACCAACCTTGGAAGAATCCGGTTATGAAAAGAACACGAGTTTACTATGATTGGGGCATCAATTCTCCTGTAAAGACAGAAAATATTGAAAATAAAACCCCATGTCGATGCTGTCTTTTTCTGTCTCCTATTGTGCAGGTTTCAATTTATTCACCGTTGCTGCCCATGAATTTGGCCACGCACTGGGCCTGGCCCACTCCACAGACCCATCAGCACTGATGTACCCAACGTATAAGTACCAGCATCCCTATGGATTCCACCTGCCCAAAGATGACGTGAAAGGGATCCAGGCCTTGTACGGTACAGTCACTACCCTTCCTTGGCTACTAACCCTGAAAGCCACAGGCTTTCGGTCTCCAGCTTAGAGAAAGTATATGTTGCCAGGAGTTACCTGCACAGGTAAAGTCAAGTGGGGGACTGTGGCCCCACCTGTGCCCTTTTAAGAAGAGATTATTTAGCAGCTATGAATACAGCTTTTCTTTTCTAAGATGCACGATTCGATTGCACATCTTTCCTCCAGAGCACATTGGTTCCTCAAGAGCCATAGAAAATGCAATAATTTGTCTGGGTTTTTAGTAGTTTGGTTTTGTTTGGGTTTGTGTTTTGAGCATGGGTCAGGATTTAGGTAGCGGGAGAGGATGGGTATATTTTGTAGTTCCTATATGTGGTTCTTACCCATCTGTGGATCAGTGACCTTATCTTCCTAAAAACATGAGGGTGATGTTAATACCTCTACTGCATAGACAGCCTGCACCTCAGCACATGGGTTCGTGGGCGTCGCCACCCCTCCCGGTGTTTGTTTCCCTCCCGGTGTTTCCCTCCCTGAACGGCGGAGAAAGTTGAGGCTCAGAGCCAGCAAGCATCCCAAGAAAATCACCATTATCTCAGGGGTTAGCTTTCTAACTAAGATAACTTTACAAGTTATCTTTCAAAGACGATAAAGAATTATTAGAGGCTCTATACCCTGCCTTCCTCACCAGAAAGATGGACCCCCGAGGTCCTGAGAGGGAATCCTGGAGCACTCCGACCCTCACACTTTTGCTTTCATGGATCAAAGGCAGACAACCCTAGGAACCAGATTTTCCCCTTAGCCTCAGAGCCTGGTTACTCGGCCTTCACTTGTCAGAGGCTCTCGGCCCCCTCTCTGCCCAGAGGGTTGGCCAGCCTGCGTAGAGACGAGCACACGCTTCTGCAGACAGCACCTGAGGTGAGGGAGTCCCATCTCATCCAGGGAAGTGTTCAGCCAGCTCTCCCCACTTCAGAGACAGGGTCCATGTGAACTCTGTCCCGCCTCTGAGTGACAGAGACCAAGGCCGTGAATGTCTCCATTGTACAGACTTGGCTCCCAAGCACCGAGTGGCCCGGTGCCAAGGTGAAGCGGTTCCCGTGGGCTACTGGGAACGCCAGAGTCCCAGTGCTTGCCTGCGCCTTACAGATCCTTCTGTACTGGAAGGTCACCGCCATGCTGACGGCCACGGTCATAGGGCCAGGGAGCACACACCTCCCACACCCCTGGCCATCTCTGACTTTAGCAGGCGGCTTGGCACATAGTGAGTGTTCAAAGACCACAGCACATTCCTGACCTTCCAGTTTCTGATCTTTTCCCAAAGCCTCACCTCATTGCTGACCCTGCGCCACCCCAGAGCTTACCCATCTCTCTCTTTCATGGGTCCTCCCCTGTGCCTCACTCCCTCTGGGCACCATGGGGACTTGCTCAAGAGCAGGGACCTGCACAGCCCTAGCTCACTTCCCGCCGATGGCAGAGAAGGCCTCAGGAGCACGGAGTGGGATGAAAACCCCCCAGCAGCTCTCCCCAAGGAGCAGGCCCCTGCTTTACAGAAGGATCCAGCGTGCACCTCCAGGGCACCTCCTTGCCACAAGAACTCACTCAGTGTGTCCTGGGTGCCTGATAAAAGGCTTATCTGTGCAGGATGCCCGGAAGTTGATGAAAATGATATGAAAACACACAGGGAAGTTGCATCTGATTGAGAACAAAGAATTTAATTACCAGGAAATAATAAAACAAATAAAAGTGGCAACTTCTAAATAATAAGAAAATAAGACTGGCAACTTTTAAAAAACCTCTCTGGTTTGGCGCCCCTGCAGCTATCAGAGAAGTTCTGTGTGACAACAAAATAACGGGTAGCATTGTTTTAACAGTTACGATGTGCCAAGCGCTCTCCCAAATGCTTCCCAGACACGATTTCTCAGAACGCCTGCTGAGGCAGGTACTATCCTCACCGCTCCCATTCCACCGATGAAGAAACGGAGGCTTGGAGAGGCTCACGGATGTGCCCGTTTATCATGCAACTCAGGGACTAGGGAAGCTGGGATTCGAATGTGGGTCCACCTGCCTCAGACAGCCACGCGCCTTGTCACCTGTCATTCAGCCCATGGAGGTCTCTGGAGCAGAAGGGGACATGCACTAGGTTCCTGGTTCCATTTTGACCAAGTCACTTTGAATCCTAGGACCCCGGAAAACCTTCCTGGGAAAGCCCACGGTGCCCCACGCACGCCCTCAAAATCCATCCAAGCCGGACCTCTGTGACTCCAGCTCCCCCTTCGATGCCGTGACCATGCTGGGGAAGGAGCTCCTGCTCTTCCGGGACCGGTAAGCCTCAGATGCGGCACCAGCGCTCCTGGGCCCTGGACGCACGCACCCTCTAGGGCCCCGGCGACGGCCCCGCGCAAGGACCGTGCGGAGGTGCCGTCCTGTGCAGCACCGGGGTGGGGGGCACAGGTCTCTGCAGAGCCACAGAACTGCCCAAACCACCACCTATGGGGCAGCTGCCACGCTCTTGGCACTGGGCGCAGTGTTCTCCATACTCGTGAGGTCCTTCTAACCCTTTCACTGTGAGGGAAAGATTAGAATCCCCGATTTACAGAGGCAGAAAGCAGCTCAAAGAGAGCAAGGTGCTCTCCTGAGGTAGGAGTTTCACTGAGTGGCTGAGTTCAACACCAGCCCAGATTTATCAGTTTTTTATTTATATCAGTTCTCAATCAGATGCAACCTCCCTGTGTGTTTTCATATCATTTTCATCAACTTCCGGACCATCCTGCATGGATGAGCCTTTTACCAGGCACCCAGGACACACTGAGTGAGTTCTTGTGGCAAGGAGGTCCCCTGGAGGTGCACACTGGATCCTTCTGTAAGGGATAGGTGGTATCCCTAGTGAGAGCACACAGTATAAGCTCAGTAAATATTCAGTAATAGGGGTTGGGTAGATAGACAGATGGACAGACGGATGGATGGATGGATGGATGGATGGATGGATGGATGGATGGATGGA